CAAAGCTCATCTCTTCTCCTTCTTCTCCCTTCTTCTTCTCCATCATTTTTCTTCTTCTTTTCACCATTATTTTCCATTTTCTTCTCCTTCTTCTTCTTCTTAGTTAGGGTTTAAACTTGTATTTCAAATTCAACTTTGGAACTTGGATTGATTGTAAGTATTTCTTTCTCTTGTTTAATTCATGAATAATGATTATTTGAGAGGATTGATGATGATTGTTGAATTTGTTATTCGTAGCTAAATCTGATTGCTAGGGATAGGGGATGATTATTCTTGTTTGAGTTGTACTTGTCGGGCTTCGATTCATTCATACTTATGTGAGTTGTTTGATTAGGGATTGATATATTCTTGCTTGATTGATTGATATAATCAAAGAGTGGCACTTCGATCTTGCAATTGGTAATAATTTAATGTTGATTAGTCGAGTTAGGGTTTGTTGATTCTATGTGATTAGTCGATTAATACCCTTCTAGTTAATTAGGGACTTTTAAAACCGAAAGGAGAGAAGTCGTAGACCTAGGCTCGCTTGAGGTAGATGATTTCATAAATGAATAATCTATATGTTTTAGATTGAAATACGCACTTGTCGATGACTCATCCCTTGTTATGAAAAGTTATTGGGATTGAGATAATTGGCCTGTATTGTATGCTCGAACTTGTTCGTCTATGTTCAATCTCTTGTTACGAAGAGTAATTGGGAGCTAACCGCTAGATGTATAATCGAGAGTGTCAATCTCGAACCGAACAATTGATTGCCCGGTGTTGTTAGAACTTGAATTAATTATCCCCGATTCTCTAGCTTCTCCATCTTTATTTCGTTTATATTGTTAGGTAGATTACTATTTTTCTTTTATTTCTTAGTTAATAATTCATCCAATCTACTATCCGATTAGAGTGTTTAGGATTTATTTTCTTTTTATGTGTTATCAATATATGAACTAAATTCCGAACCGCCTTCCTCGTGAGATCGACCCGGGAATGAATCATTTGATTCGGTACTCGGTAAAAATAACAATTTGTGCTACAAGAAATTTGGCGCCGTTGCCGGGGAAGGCAAGTAGAATATGTGGTTTTGGTATTGATTTTATTTTTCGTGTTTCTCTTTGTTTTGTGTTTTTCATATTTGTGTTTTTTCTTTTGCGTTTCTTTGTTTTTCTCTTTGTTTTTGTTTTTGTCATTTCTTTTCTTCATTTTCGTGGCTACGTGTGGTTGTTCTATTTTGGTGTGCAGGTATTATGAACTACAACCGTGATTACCCATTACAGCATACCCAACCTGGGTTTCACGAGCCGAGCTATCACGTCGGGCATCACTACCAACCATATTCATACCCTTCCGAGCAGTACAGAGACCCCTTCCCGGTCGAGCAACATTATGAGTCCCACAAGTTTAACGAGAAGCTCGACCAGATTCTCGATTTCATAGAGTACAAATCAGCTCGATAAAAAAAAGAGGCTGCCTACAATGCCAAACTCGATCTCATCCTAGATTGATTGATGGCCCAAGCAAAACGAGAGGAGAGGATGGAGCTCAGATGTACCCGTTTGAGCGAGCAAGTAGAGAATCTAGCAAGGCGCATCAACTCTATCGAGTCCCAGGCTGATGAGCCCAAGTTTGTGGACCCCCATCCAGCACCCTTGTGTTGGAACCCACGAGGATCTCGATATGCACAAATCACAGACAAACATTCAA